TAATATAAAACTTTTGTGCCATATCTTCTGTAGACTCTCATATTTGGACACCCATTTAGACTGTAAAAACCTCGCGAAATTCAAATCGTTCAAATTTAAATACAACTCCCTATGGAAAAAATTAACTTGAGTCAGGTGCTTTCGATGTTTGGCTAAATTTTGCCTTATTTACTCTACTTTTTTGGTGAATTACTACCTGTAATAAAGCAACATCCTAATAAAACAACGAAAATAACACATATAAAGTTAAATAAAAACTAAAAACAACACAGAAAAAGTTTTTATGTTCTACAGCTTCAGCTAGAGTTGAACCTGATGACTTGGCAACTTCGTCATCCTCGTAAAAACACACACAACAACAATGGCTGTCCTTATGTTTTCAACTTTACCACCACTGGTGGGTAGAATTTTTGTTTTAAATTCAGAAACATTAATTAAAATATATATAAATAGTAAATAAATGTTGCTTTCATATTCATATGTAGAGTAATGACGATATGTTTTCACATGTGCGCACGTACATACGCAATCTCACTTTTTTCTTTACCATTAATGGTTAGCTACTTCTATTGTTACATATATTAACATTAAATAACATTACTTAAAACAACCATATTAATTTTTTTACATTAATTTTACTACAGCTACAACCAGGGTCTTATTTCCTTCAGTTTTATATGCAGAACCAATCAGTCACTGGTTTGGTAACCATTATCGAAAACAATGCCGTCTCGTCTCCTCGTGTGTTTAAATATTCTACGTATTATTAATGAATTGTATTGCTCATTTTGCACACAAACATTAATTCAATCAAAAAGACATTCAGTAATAAACAATAATGAATCTTTTGTAGTCTCGTTCAAGATTCTTCGAACACTGCTGGAGACAGCTGGCAATTCGAGGCCGTTTGTTTACTATAGTACGTAGTATAATATAACACAAAACAACAAAGCCCAACAATTAATTAAGCAACGGGGAACTAAGTAACCAATCGCTGATCACTTTTACATTCATTCATAATTTTTACTGTGTACTATAGCAAACAAAAGGACTTGAGTTGGCAGCTGTCTCCAGCAGTGTTCGAAGAATCTTGAACGAGACTGTACATAAGAGAAATGACGCTGTTTACACGATTGTGCACGTCTGAACGTTGGCGGGCAGCTCAAATCCGTCGAAATTATATTTTCATATGAATAATAACTAAATCCCTCTATGTATTATAAAAAAATAAATAAAATTACAGTCGGCCCTTCACATACGCGGGTTTAGCAATCACGGATTCGCAAATACGTGGATTGTCCCGCCGGAGGAATATTCTGTACATTGAAGTAATTGAAGTACATTCAAATTGCGCGTGGCACCGAACACTGCACACCGCCCGCTCCCGCTACCTCACACACACACGCATAGCTCACTCAGTCAGTCTCGCTGTAACCACGCTTGTGTTGACATCAGCATTGTAGTTGCAAAAATATTACATTTCTGTGAATGTATTATATCAAGCACAGTATGAATAGAATATCACTAATATAACAGTATTTTAACCGAAAACTATTAAAAAAACGAGTAACATATCTTGAACATCGGAAGGTTAGGTAAAGTCTTTTGTTTTCATGTAGTTTATCCTAATTTACAATGAAAGACATTAGTTTCAGCAAAACTACTAGTTATTTCTGAGAATATGGAAATGTAATATTTTTGCTGAAATGACGTATGTATTACAGTGGAAAGTGAGAGAAAGCAATGACTTTCGCTTTCTTTCGTTCAAAAGATGTTACCGTTATCGCTTTTCAAATGGTTTTCAGTTAAAAAACTGTTGTATTACAATAATATTCTATCCTAATTCACTTGTGATGCAACAGTTTTTTAACTGTAAACCATTCGAAAAGCGATTACGGTAACATCTTTTGAACGAAAGAAGGCGAAAGTCATTGTTTTCGTCACGATTTTATCCCACTTTCCACTGTAATACGTACGTCATTTCAGCAAAAATATTACATTTCCGTGAATGTAGTATATCAAGCACAGTATGAATAGAATATCATTGTAATATAACAGTATTTTAACCAAAAACTATTAAAAAAACGAGTAACATCTCTTGAACATCGAAAGGTTAGGTAAAGTCTTTTGTTTTCGTTATGTATTTTATCCTATTTTACATTGAAATACATCACATTTCAGCAAAACTACTATTTATTTCTGAGAATATATTCATTCAGGTACAGTTTAGGTAAAATATACATGTGATGTAACAGTTTTTCAACTGAAAACGATTCGAAAAACACATACCCTCTAGCCCTGTTCAAGGAGAAGACTGGGAGGAGCTGTTTGGTGCTGAAGACGATGACAAGGAAAATGATTTGATGGATTTTAATGAAAATATTCAGAAATATAATATCGTAGTATTTATTCAAGTGAATTAGGATAGAATATTATTGTAATACAACAGTAGTGACGATGTGGAGAGGCGGAGGAATAGAGCGGGGAGGAGTGGTGATGCTGGAGGCGGGAGCAGGGAGGAGTGGAGATGCCAGCCAGTACATTACAGGTGTACTGTACAGTATTAATTGTTTTATAGCTCTTTTTGCATTTTAATATTATTATTGATTATGTGTTAAAGGAATACCCTTCCTTCCTAAGGCTTTAGTAAGCCCTTTTATAATATTTATACTGTATATACTTGTCACACTTGCCAGATGCTTCTGGTGTTATTGTACAGGGGTACCTAGTGACAGCACTAGGATCCCGCTTCCTCGATCAAGGAATAAACAATTGAAATTGAAGAGAAATACAGTCGCCAGGTTACTGTCCATTCAAATAATGGACTCAACTCCCACCCCCCCCCCCTTCCCACGGCTCGCTGGCTCCTCCCTCTCTGAGAAATGTTTGGGTGAAAACACTAGATTTTAAGGTATAGTAACAAATAATACCTCAGACTAAAGTTAGGATAATATAATTGACATTTCTGGATTCCTTGCAGGTCAGGGAATATTTTGAATGTAAAATTCATATATTTTGTACAAAAGATAAAATATTTGCTTTGTGTAAACCAAATTATTACATTAGATCTAAAATTTGTATGTCTAATGCAAAATCCATGACGTTTATATTCAAAATGATCACCATATTGTAAGAATTCCAGCAATGTCAATTATATTCTGGCCGGGAAATTTGTATGAATTTTATGAGCTAAAACAAATATCTTCACTAAATAAAGAAAATATACTTCACGAGACACTATCTGTCACTCAAAATACCCCACCTCCGCCTCCCCCCCCCCTCTTCCCACGCTGCTAGGTCCCTCCCTACCAGAGAAATGCTTGGGAGAAAACAGTATATTTACATTTTTAATAATAATTAATACCTCAGACTAAAGTTAGGATAATATAATTGACATTTCTGGATTCTTTGCAGGTCAGGGAATATTTTGAATGTAAACTTCATATATTTTACACAAAAGATAAAATATTTACTTTGTGTAAACCAAATTATTACATTAGATCTAAAATTTGTATGTCTAATGCAAAATCCATGATGTTTATATTCAAAATGATCATCATATTGTAAGAATTCCAGCAATGTCAATTATATTCTGGCCGGGTAATTTGTATGAATTTTATGAGCTAAAAAAAATTATACTTCATCCACGTATATGAGTTTTCATTGTGGATCTACATGAAATATGAGTAGATGCACCCCGTAAAATGAAATTCCGGTTCTGGTGAGGTACCGCATAAATGTAGAATCGCGTAAAGCGAAACCGCATAATTCGGGGTGTTACTGTATGTGTTTTGTGTGAGTGTGTCTACACACACACACACACACGTCAGGCCCCTCATAACACCATCTGTGAGGGAATTACTACACTACGTGATGTCCCTCATAACACCATCTGTGAGGGAGTTACTACACCACGTGAGGCCCCTCATAACACCATCTGTGAGGTAATTACTACACCACGTGAGGTCCCTCATAACACCATCTGTGAGGGAATTACTACACCACGTGAAGCCCCTCATAACACCATCTGCGAGGGAATTACTACACCACGCCAGGTCCCTCATAACACCATCTGAGGGAACTACTACACCACGTGATTTCCTCCTAACACCATCTGGGAGGGAGTTACTACATTACGAGTTTGCTGTTCAACACCTACATTAATCTGTATATTCACTGTATGTTCCTTTACCTTTCTCTAATGAAGGCTTTTGTTAAACCAGCAATGTATGTAATAAGTCATTTATGTCCAATGTATATTTTCAGCCTTCAGGCTGCAGAATTTTTTCAATAAACTGTTAATTATTATTATTTTATTATTATTATTATTATACACATATACACTACAGGTAAAAAAAATTACTTTTCTCTAGAATGAATGGCTCCCTATCCCGGCTGTAAAAATGCCAGCAACTTTAAAACTACCCTTAGACATTCTTGGGTACATCCAGGGTGTTATCCACGAATAATCGAGGTCCGTGAATTGAAAATCTGCAAATTTGAAGGGCATGCTGTACTCATAGCAATCACCCTTGTTACTGATTGATGTCCCTTCATCAGAGCTACATGGTTCATATATCCCACCCACCAATAGTAAGGTTTACTGAGTCAGATGCTGTGGAACTAATTTAAAAACAGCCATACACAGCACAGCAGATCCCTCAGTCAATCTACTTTTACTAACTATTACCTCTAACATTTGCACATCTTTGACAATGGCACCTAACAAGTTACAGATCTATTATCAATAATTTCAAAACTAAGTATACAGTACAGACAAATTTACCGAGGTAACACACATGCACTCACTCACAGGCACATAGAACTGTCAATGTCACAACCATGTAGCCAAAACCATAGCCTCTCTTCCCCATCACTATATCATCCATACAGACAACATACATCCAACCCACAAAAGCTTTCCAATTTCTATCCATCAAAAGATATACAGGGAAGCACTTCATTTATATATCAGATAATATAAACAACTCATTACACACCTGCAAGAGAGCTTAAATTGTTTGATGATGTTGGAGACCTTCTCAAAGCGGTTAACGTCCCTGTGAGGTCTCATGCGGTAATGAGATATGACCAGGAATGTCGCTCTCTCAAACAGCAAAACTTCGTCAGCATCAATAATGTTGGCAAAGTCCTTCAGGTTTTGCTCCAGCTCCTTGACATTTGGAATAAGTTCATAGACAATGCTTGACCAGGCCTGTGGAAGAAGAAACATCTCAGAAAGAGCCCAGTGACTGACTGACTGAATGAGTGAGTGATAGATAATTCTTGGGGAAGACTTTGGAACCAGCATTATCTTTTTCAGAGTGTGTATATGATAACCTCATCCATGGTATCAAACATTCATGGATGTACTCAATGTAACCAAAACTTGACACTGGATTTGTCATATTCAAAGATTGTGAAAACTCAAGTATCCTTGAGAAGCAGAATAAATTTCAAGTACAGTACTGTACATTTAGAAATTTCAAACTATTTGTCATGTGTTGTACAAAAGAATACATCTATGACTCTCGCATATAAATCCGTATCTCATACGATACAACCAAAGTTATACATATGAATTTTCCCATTTTCATTAAGAATCGAGTTTTCATTCATGCCTCAACTCCATTTTCTGATGATAGGCCAACATGGGTCATAAGGGGATTCCAATCCAGTAGTATATCTGAGCTGACTCAAGAGGTTCAAGGGAGACAAGAGTAACTCAATCCCCTTTACTATGAACAGTCAGTTCTGCTATAACGCGATAGTTGTGTTCTTGTAAAACATCATGTAATAGAAATTCGCGGAATAGAAATAACAGGGCTTATGGAGAAAATAGGGTTAGGTGCAGATTACTCCAAATCGAAAAAAATTTCGTAGTTAGCCTAACACAAAGGATAGCACAGTCTAAATAAATGTTACATTCATATCTAATAATGAAATCATACAGTAAATGTTACACTTTACCTTGAAAAAATATGAATATAACTTGATGGGGGAGAAGGTTGATGTTGAGGAGTCATGCAGACAGGATTTGACAGTTGTCATCGTCATCATCAGTATCATCATCATCAGGTGCAGTTTTTCTTTAGGTCCTCATATATTGATAAGGCTTTCTCTTTAATGGTGAGGAAGCTGGTCCAAGATCGCTTTTTCGTTTGATCTTCTATCCGAACACTTAGAAGCCATTCCATCTCCTCAAGTTCCTTTGGCCGTGATCTCACACTTTTGCTAGCACTCAAGGTTTTTCCAGCAATGCAGTTGTCTCTAATGGTGCGTAAAGTAAACTCCTTTATTCCCATTGCACGCACAATATCACATGTTCTTTCCTTATTTTCAAAACAATTGACATCATCAAGCTTTTCTACAAGTGTTATAGCCTTTCTTTTACGATCACCACCAGAAATGTGATCACCAGAACGCTTCCTGGAGATATTCTTCTTTTCCATAGTCACAAAATTGGAGAAACAGTTATCAGAATTCACTGAGGATGGTTAAAAACTTCACAAGTGTTTCAGACTGAAAGTGTGGAGTAAACAGAGGGTGCGGGTCTAAAACGCTATGTATTTTGTTTTTCTCTCTTATTTAAAATTTTACAATTTACATATACTGTACAGGTATACTGTATACATAAATATTACATAAGTTATTTCTGCAATTGTTCACAAACAAAACACATAAATCAATTAAACATGTGATGTCGAACGTGAACTGTAAACACTGCATAACCCCGCGCCAAGCCATAACACTGTACAGTCAACCCTCACTTTACGCGGTTAATGTAACCCACAGGGTACCGCGGAAAGTGAGAAACGCGTAAAGTGAATAACATAACATATGGGATTAAATGAAATAGAGACCAGCTGACCCCCAAACTCCACTTTTTCCAACACAATACCTATGTTCTAGTAAAAATAACATCTTAATTTTATGATGGTACATGCACACAATTAATACTTAAGAGAAATAGAGAAATACAGTCGCCAAGTTAATGTCCATTCAAATAATGGACTCGACTCCCTCCCCCTCTTCTCACACTATACTGCTGGCTCTTCCCTCTGAGAAATTTTTGGGGGAAAACCAGGTATAGTAATAAATAATACCTCAAACTAAAGTTAGGATAATATAATTGACATTGCTGGATTCCTTGTAAGACCAGGAATATTTTGAATATAAATGTCATATATTTTTCACAAAAGATAACATATTTACTCAGAGTAAACATTACATCTAAAATTTGTATGTCTAATGCAAAATCTATGATGTTTATATTCAAAATGATCATCAAATTGTAAGAATTCCAGCAATGTAAATTATATTCTGGCCGGGTAATTTGTATGAATTTTATGAGCTAAAACAAATATCTTCAGTTAATAAAAAAAAAAATATATTCTTCACGACACTATCTGTCAATCAAAGTACCCCACCTTGCCTCCCCCCCTCTTCCAACCAGCCAGATGGTCAGTCCGTCCCAACCCTCCCCCCCACCTCCCACCAACCCTCCCTTCAAGAGAAAGAGTGGGTGAAAAAACTAGATTTTAACATTTAGTATTAAATAATACCTCAGATTAAAGTTAGGATAATATAATTGACATTGCTGGATTCCTTGTAAGACCAGGAATATTTTGAATATAAATGTCATATATTTTGCACAAAAGATAACATATTTACTCAGAGTAAACATTATATCTAAAAATTTTATGTCTAATGCAAAATATATGATGTTTATATTCAAAATGATCATCAAATTGTAAGAATTCCAGCAATGTAAATTATATTCTGGCCGGGTAATTTGTATGAATTTTATGAGCTAAAATAAAAATCTTCAGTTAATAAAAAAATAATAATCTTCACACGGTAACAGATGGTCGGTCGCCGGTCCCTCCCTCCCCCCCACCAACCGTCCCTACTAGATAAATGTGTGGGAATACGAGACTGTTTACCTTTTTAGTAATAAATAATAAATCAGACTAAAGTTAGGATAATATAATTGACATTGCTAGATTCCTTGTAAGACCAGGAATATTTTGAATATAAATGTCATATATTTTGCACAAAAGATAACATATTTACTCGGAGTAAACATTATATCTAAAATTTGTATGTCTAATGCAAAATCTATGATGTTTATATTCAAAATGATCATAAAATTGTAAGAATTCCAGCAATGTAAATTATATTCTGGCCGGATAATTTGTATGAATTTTATGAGCTAAATAAAAAAATTATACTTCACCAGTGTAAAGGGCTACACCCACCGCGGAATGTGAACATCCTGGGTTCTGGCAGGGCACGGTGTAAACGTGGAAACGCGGAATGTAGGACCGCGTAAAGTGAGGGTTGACTGTACAGTACACTTTAAACGCTACGTATTTAGTTTTCTCTTTTATTTAAATTTTTACAATTTACATATATATATATACATATATATATAAGTAAATTGTAATTTACATATTATTCATATTATGCTACAGCTCCCACAAAACATAAGAAACGTTTGAGTCCCCCAGTAGAGATGTCCGTTCTCTATCCACTTCAGGATGTCTTAGTCCTCCGTTTTCTTTTTGTGTATTCGCTCAGGGACTCAAGTATTTCTGTATATAACACAGGATGATAAGGGGATTTTAAATTATGAGTGAATGAATTTATTATACAGTGATCAATTAACATAGTTTTGATGTGTTTAAGTAGTATTCAGGCGCCTTCAGCCTAGTAATGTTACGACATTCGTATCACTCACTGTAAACCACGCATTCCACCCATACACAGAGAGAGAGAGGCCAAGCGGTCTGTTTACATCACACACACATAAATATTACATACCGTATATCTCGGCCTATTTTATAATCGCAGTCATGTACTGAATATTCTATGTGAAAAATATAAATTTTAAATGAATTATTTATAGTGTGGTCGACTTCGGACACAAAGACGGGCTATTACCCTCTGTTCTCAGAGAGGTCTTGGTAAATAACTTTTGTTTGTTTATTTTCATTGTTTGTCTAATTTATCATGTTGTATTAAAGTAATATCTAAAAGTTTTAGGTATCTACCAAACAGGGAGGTACTACTGCCTGGGAAGATATTGGAAGCACAATGTACAGTATTGTCTAATGGTAGATCCTACTTCCATATGGCATCACGAAAATTGTGACCAAGTCTTAGGTTGCTGATTTATCTTTCTGCTTCATTTACACACAATTGCAGAGTTTCAATTGTTTCTCTTCCTTTGACAACACAACATACATACAATATAATGTTTCTCACCTCTGATCTTTTTTCTATTTATTTATGGTTGGTTATTTAAAATAATGCCAATTCACTTCAAGTATTAGCATCAAATTTTACCGGCTGGTGTACACTAGTGACTCACTTTAGTGGCAGTTATTTAACTGGAACTAATGTTGGTGTGAGTAAAATATTTCCATTAACTGAAATAGATTTGCCGATTTATTTGTTTATTTATTTATAATATACTGTAATACATTAAACACACTGCAAGTATTTTCTTTAATTTATATACTTGTTTCGCGAAAAAGGGAGGCTACCATTATACCTGGTAGGTGAAGTTGACCAGAAATTTATGGTGATCATTAAGGACCAAACTCCGAATCCAGAATCCATGACGTGACTTCTGTTCATCATTCTCATCCTAAATTTACCACTGTCGGTAGTTTCAAGAATTAACGCAGTCATTTACTGAATATTCTTTGTAAAAAAATAAAATTTAAATTAATTATTTATAGGAGATAAGTATTATGATCAGTAAATATACAGATATGCATTACTGACCACCTCCGAACACAAGGACGGCTAAAAATAGCCACAGGCGGTCACAGTCAAGGTCACTTTCCCTTTCTTGTCACTGGCAAATGGGGGTGGGGGGGGGGGATGATGATAGCAGCTGTGTTTATTACCGGGGTATATTGTTCTTTTACGTTATGTTAGACTGGTTTATAATACATTTTTATTATTTTAATATACCGGTAATCTTCATTTTAATCCAGCTTCCCAAACGTAAGTTTCAGTATAAAATAATTAGTGGTAGGACCTTGTGAGTGGTTTACCATGTTTCCATCACCACTCTTGACACGCTAAACCGCAATATTTAAGAGGTAAGAATTTTATCTCTGGTGCTTAAGACGACCCCCTAACTTTGGGCTGATTTTTTTTTTCAAATTCCGTCTTGTAGGCCGAGATATACGGTAATGATTTTCTTTTATCGCGGCTACCAAAATTATCAAAATTTTCCTATACAGTGAACCCTCACTTTACGCGGTCAATTGAACCCACGGCGGCCCACGTAAAGTGAACAACATAACATATGGGATTAATTGAAATAGAGACCGGGCAGACCCCCAAACTCCACTTTTTCCAACACAATACCTACGTTGTAGTAAAAATAACTTCTTAATTTTATGATGGTATGCACACACAATTAATAATCAAGAGAAATATCAATAATATTTGGTATTTTAACACTTACATTAGTATAAAAGATGGCTGGGCACACGGGGCTGGGGGGTTGGTTCCGAGGCAGAGGGCATATTATTGGCCCTCACCTGTATCACTTGTATCAGTATCCACCACAGAGGCTTGCAGGGCCTCTTTGTCAAACCCCTCAAAGTCCATATAAGTCCATATCCTCAATATCATTATCACTATCACTGACTTGGGCCGGCTGTGGTGGGTGGCGGGTGAAGAACTCGGTAATGTTTTGATGACTGGGCAACCTTGTGCGCACCCTGCTCGCGCCGCTCTCCGCGCAAAAGGGTACACACACCGCGGAAAGTGAGCATTCCGTGTTCGGCAGGGTACCGCGTAAAGTGGGACCGCGTAAAGCGAGAGTTGACTGTATACAGCTGCTCCCCGACTTACGATGGGGTTAGGAACCCAAATCCAGGTCGTAAGTCGAAATGGTCGTAAGTCGAAAATGCTTAAATTATACATAGAAAATCTAAATTGGGTGTCTCTTTTTCTTCTCAGCACCAGAAAACTCTCACTTTTAAGCTTGCCAGCCATTTTAAAGTGAATTACAAAAAAAAAAATTGTCAGTACACAACGCAATCACTGACATTGGGACTCGAAAATACATAATTTGAAAAAATTTTGGTCCTACTGAGGCAGTCGTATGTCCGGATGGTCGTAAGTCAGGGAGTAGCTGTACAGTGATAATTTTTTTTTATTTAGCAAGGGAAATCGGGCAGGAAATATTTCAAATGTACCGCCATGGCAAACAAATGCGTTATTTGTTCACCAGAGGCGCCACCGTGGCTGCTCACTCACTCATTCACACTTGCCCGCTCAGTCTTATGAGCGAGTGACGAGTAAGCAGCGACTCTGCTGCAGATTATGACTTCTAATGCGAGTGTAAATAGGTTGCTAGTGACGTGAAAAGTGAAGTGAAGATAATGGAAAGCTTAATGGAAAAGATTTGATACTGTAACTAATATTTTTGGTGTTTGTTTATGTAGGTGTGGGATTGTCAAGTGAGTGTCACAGTGTGGCGTCTAGTATTCCTGAGTCTGGTGTTCCTTGATATTAATATTGAAATAGCCTGTTGTTCCCAAGTCTGGTGTTCCTTGGTGCTTTAGTTAGTAAGAAAATGAACTCGTTAAGTCAAGTTTAGTCACCATTCTTGGCCTCCAGAACCTAACTCTATGTTCCCTATTGATTTCATGTACAGTATTACCCCGCATAACGCGGTTTCACTTAACACGATTTCCCATATACGCGGTGCCTCGCCAGAACCGAACTTTCACTTAACGCGGTTCATCTACCCATATACGCGGTGAAGTATAATTTTTTTTTTATTTAGCTCATAAAATTCATACAAATTACCCGGCCAGAATATAATTTACATTGCTGGAATTCTTACAATATGATGATCATTTTGAATATAAACATCATAGATTTTGCATTAGACATACAAATTTTAGATATAATGTTTACTCTGAGTAAATATGTTATCTTTTGTGCAAAATATATGACATTTATATTCAAAATATTCCTGGTCTTACAAGGAATCCAGCAATGTCAATTATATTATCCTAACTTTAGTTTGAGGTATTATTTATTAAAATCCAGTGGTTTTCCCCCAAAAATTTCTCAGAGAGGAAGAGCCAGCAGTGTAGTGTGAGAAGGGGGGGGGAGTTGAGTCCATTATTTGAATGGACATTAACTTGGCGACTGTATTTCTCTATTTCTCTTAAGTATTAATTGTGTGCATGTACCATCATAAAATTAAGATGTTATTTTTACTAGAACATAGTGTTACGAACCACGCCTCCAATTGTCATGATCTACCTACCCAGCACTACGAACCACGCCATCTATTGTCCTGATCTACCTACCCAGCACCACGAGCAACGCCATCTAGGGACGAAACCCGAGTATGACTACTCTTAGTTACCACTCCGGGGTTTCCCTTCTCCATATCCTGGTTGTTGCGTCACCTCCTACAAGTCTTCTTCATCAGCTCCAGTTCGATGAGAGTTCAGTTCACTCTGGGAAGTGACCACAGGATCACCTATCCTGGAAACCTACGGCACAGTGACTACCTACCGTCTTCTACAATACTCAGCCTTACTCGTCAGCCATCTCAGCTCCACACTTAAGTATTTGTAATCTTATATTGCCTCCCCGCGTCCACTTGCTTCAAAATTGTTGTATGTTGTATAAATACGGTATGTATATACTGTTAATGTTTAGGTTAAGTATGGTTAAGGGTAAATTATAGAAAGCTGAATATTTTGCTAAGGAATTTATGGTACTTTATTATACACAACAAAAACTTGCATCCTTTGTCTACCCTTTTATAGTCCGATTGTCTTTGTTTTTTTATTGTTGTTGCCTGTTGGGATCTGGGTAGACTTTTAACTATATTCTAAATCCCCAACTCGTAACAATAGGTATTGTGTCCGAAAAAGTAGAGTTTGGGGGTCGGGCCAGTCTCTATTGGAATTAATCCCATATGTTCTGTTGTTCACTTAACGCGGTTTTCACTTAACACGGTACCCTGTGGGTTCAATTGACCGCTACAGGTTGTACCTCTCTAGTCCGGCATTCTATGGTCCGGAAACTCCCGTGGTCCGGAACGATTTTAGTTTGTCCAATAGGAAGATAGGCAGCTTTTTTACTTATCTGAATTATTATTATTATTACAGGAGTATTAAATTTTTGCCCCTCAGGCCCCAATGTGGGTCAGTGACCTATGCCCGGGTGGGCTAATCCCCTTAAAAAAAAAAAAAAGCCGCGGGAAATTAAGGTTTGTTTACATCCGGCAGTTCGGCTGCTCTCTCTCTCTCTCTCTCTGCTTGTCTATACAGAGTACAACATTTAACCCTTCAATATATATGAACAGTAAATAAGTGTTGCTTTCATATTCTTATGTAAAGTAATGACGATATGTTTTCACGTGTGCGCACTTACATACGCGATCTCTCTTTTTTCTTTACCATTATCGTTAGCTACTTCTATTGTTCCATTTATTAACAAATAACATTACTTAAAACAACCATATTAATTTTACTACAGCTACAACCAAGGTCTTATTTTCTTCAGTTTTATATGTAGAACCAGTCAGTCACTGGCTTTGTAATCAACAAAAACAATGCTGTGTCATTTCCTCGTGTGTTTTAATATTCTACGTATTATTAATGAATTGTATTGCTCATTTTGCACACATAAACATGAATTCAATAAAACAGACATTCAGTAATAAACAATAATGAATCTTTTGTACATAAGAGAAATGACGCTGTTTACACGATTATGCACGTCGTCTGCACGTTGGCAGGCCGTTCAAACCCGTCGAAATTCAAGTTTCCGCCGTCAAAATTTTTATTTATTTATTTTTTGTGTGTTCCAATAAAATACGTTAAGAATTAAAAACTCACGAAATTTGAGAAGCTACTATACGACATTTAACCCTTCAATATGTCTTCAAAGAGACCATGATGTAGAGAAAGCGGTGCTAGTGCTTCCAAGCTTAAGCACAAGTCACTATCTATTCAGGAAAAGGGTGAATTTCCATGGTCCGGCACCGGTCAGGTCCTGAGGTTGCCGGACTAGCGAGGTACAACCTGTACGACTAATAATAATAATACAGAACCATAAAGAAATAAAAAATTAAAAAAGATCAATAGTGACAAACAATGTATGTATGTTGTGTTGTCAACAGTAAGAGAAACAATTGAGACCCTGCAATTGTGTGTAAATGAGGCAAAAAGACAGATCAGCAACCTGGGACTTGGTCACAATTTTCGTGATGCCATATGGCAACAGGGTCTACCATTAGACAACACATTATGCTTCCAATATTTTCCAGTATTACCTCCTTGTTTGGTAGCTGCCTACTACCTAGCTATTTATATATGTATTTTGCACTCACCTGAGACTAGCATGAAAAACTCACGGATTTTGCTTTCTCACAGGGTCATTTTACCTAACCCCAGCGAGCTTTAAGGGAATACTGTACTGTATTCCCAGACCAAAAATCAAACAGAGATGTGTGCACTAAATTAAAAATCAGCGAATTGTCAGGGCATGCTGTATAACTTGTTCTTAATAAATTAGAAGATGGAATTGTGGACACTGCAGTTCAAAAGGTGAGCCTGGGGGCCTGGCATGCTGAGGAGTTGTTCCGCACATCTGTCTCAGTTTTCTGTTCATTTTTTAGCAGTTTTAATGAGGATGAATCATGCTTTCTGAAGGTAAACTGAGAGCCAGACAAATATCTGACAGGAAAAATGGTCAAACAACAGTAAGAAAAAAATTTGATAAAATAAAGGGAAATTAGGAAAAGCAAAATTAATATCACCTTGTAAAGAGTTTCATCCCAAATTGAGGTCCTGAAGCAGACACATTCTAGTGGCTTCGATAATCGCTTCAGATCTTCTTCCCTCTCCCTGAAGATCTGCAAATGAATGACAGTAAATTAACACACACACTACAGTAATATCTCCGTTAGCCGGAATCACTCAAACCCGGAAATCTCCGATAGCCGGAATTGAAATTTCGTCAGAAAATCATTCCCAAAGCCGGTGTTATTGCCGCTGGCTTCAACAACAGTGCTGGCGTTGCCTTACCCGAACAAACATTAAATCTCTGAGCCTGCGACCACGTGTGCCCCACCCCCCACGCGACCTGTGACCTCGCCAGATGTGGCGGCTGGGGGAGGGGAGGGGTGTTTACAGACAAGAGGCCCTGATTCTGCCAAGTGTATGGTTTAGAAGGTGGCGTGGCCGCCTGGCCTCCACGATGCAGATAGCCCTCTCGAGTCATGCTGTGAGGACCAGCCCTCTGCTAGCAGTGGTGAACACCGACTCCCAATCCTGGCCAAGTTTTGTGCTGGAACAATTTACACAGTACTATCTTCCCTTGGAACGCCATACTGATCTGCATTGACCCGCACTTGTAAGTACTGTACAGCCAAAGTGATGACATACCCCTCAGTACTGAAATATTGTGGACTAATTATGCCTACTCATTTCTGCCTTATCTGGAGCAATAAGGCAATGAGGAATGAAGTGTAACTAAGATTAATAGTTATGAACTTTGTATCATGTCACTAGGCTTAATAATAATCAATTGTAATTAAGATGAAATCGTGTGAGACTAACTAATTATGTATCAGATAGATTACCATGTAACACTAATGAATGCCTTGTTCTCTGCAAGTTTTGACCACATCAATAAATATTGAATGCGTCAACAGGCGGGTTTCAATCATTCCCTTCGACTTGCGCGTCACCTGAACGTCCTCAACCAAGGCGTTTACAGCCGGAATTATCCCAAAATTTCTGATTTTAGGAACAAATTTTCCAAGGTTGAAAATCGAGAGAACTTTATGAAAATGTCTTGAATAAAGATGAAAGTTAAAGTATTTTTGGGGGGATATCTTATTGGAAACATTTCATAGAAAATTCATTAAGGATCATTATGGTATCAAATTCATCTCCCTATCACAATTGGCCACGCTTCAGTGAGGAAGGGAGGGAACTGACCGCACGGCCTTTCCCCCTCACCCCCCAAAAAGGTCACACACACACACACCTAACAAGGGAATTTAGACAGAAACATAAGGAATGAAGGTCTTATTGTGTGAAGAATTTGCGTGTGTGACCGAGTTAAATATTAGCTGTTGAGGAGTGCTTAGCAACACTTATTTCCATTCCATCTCTCTAATCACCCACACCTTTCTGCTTTCTCACTCCATATTTTAAAATGTTATGTAATGTAATGTTGAAGGGATACAACTTTGCTCATTTATACTCGTACTTACCACAATCTCCCTAAAAATACTTTAGGTTTTGTGTTTATTCAAGACATCTTCAGGTCATGAGACCCACTAATCCCCCACCCAAGAAAGGGTGACCTGACATTCCATCAGAAGGTCAGTAATATGCTACCACTAATCCCCCACCCTACCGCCATCTGATATTGCGTCAGGTCAGGTACATGAGACACACTTATCACCCACAGCTCCATGTGAGTAGAAAATACAGGTTGACAATCCCTTATCCGAAATCCTTGGGACCAGATGCATTTCGGTTTTTGGAATTTTTCGGTTTTTAGAATGGTTAGTTTTTTTTTTTTTTTTTTTACAGGGATCAGCCCACCCGGGCACAGGTCACTGACCCACATTGGGGACTGGGGCTAAAATATAATAATAATAATAATAATAATAATAATAATAATAATAATAATAATAATAATAATAATAATAATAATAATAATAATAATAATTCATAGGTCTAGGTCATGTTTCTCACTTTTGATCTTTTTTTCATTCATGTATTTCTTTATTATTATTATTAGTATTATTTTATTATTACAGTATTATTGTTATTATTATTGTTATCATTCTTATTTTATTTTTGTGTATTATTTATTAAAAATTTTATTTACTATGAATGATTATCATTACTGTATTATCATTATTATTATAATTATTATTACTATTACATTTTCACCCCCCAGGCCCCGATGTGGGTCAGTGACCTGTGCCTGGGTGGGCTGAAAAAAAAAAAAAAAAAATTGGTCCACACAAAAAAAATCGGTTTTCAGAGCTTTTCGGTTTTGGAATTTCGGATAAAGGGTTGTCAACCTGTACCAGTCTTTGCAGTAACACACAACTTCATTCATTCCCGTATCATATAGATTTTTAATTTTCAAATATATTTATTTTACCAAACTTTTAGATAAACTATTCTGGATTATTATAGTAAAGAAATGGAGTTTCTAACATAATTAGAACTGCATTTACAGACTCCGGTAGTTTAGATTCGAGGAAAACATCCCCAGCACCCAGAAATATTCTGGGGAAGTGGGCTAGTGTCTGTGTGTGCAAGATGTCTAGTTTAGACACTCGGAAACTTTTCCCAGTAACCGGAAAATATTCTGGGGATACGGAATTTTTCTGGGTTTGAGAAAGTCGTCTAGGTAGCCGGAAATCTTTCATCCCCGGAAGTGCTCTGCACCAATTGTTCCGGCTAACGGGGATATCACTGTACAGTATACAGTCACTTGTTGAAACAAAAACAGTTTGTATGCACAGTAAACCCCGATATAACGGACTAATTGGGGGGGAAGACCGGTCCGTTAAGGACAAAAGTCTGTTATATATGGACCCGGAATAATAAAAGATTCAGTCTATTATATACCAACATAGCCCGAAGTACCTTTCAGGTATATAACTCAATAAATGTCTGTCTGTCAGGGGGTGTGGAGTAGTTTTGTTAACATCTTGGCTGGCTAGGTTCATGTGAGCTGAGCTGTGTTGCTGGTTCACATGTGCCCAATTACCCTGCTTACAAATATTTATGGCATTTCATACACTTGGAATTTTGGTATTTATACAATGGTCCCTCGGTTAACGAGCACAATTCATTCCAGAAGGTTGCTCGGTAACCGAAAAATTCGTTAACCGAAACCATTGTTTCAATGGGTTTTTGGGTAATTGGTTCCAGCTCACCGAAAATTACATACAAACTAAAAATAAATGCAGTAAAGTACACTTACTTTGAGGTGTGCATGTAGAAGGCTCCTGGTTGATGATGATGGGAATTAGAATGGGGGTGGAGGAGAAGGGAGAAGAGAAGGCAGTGGGGGTGGAAGAGAAGTCACCCCATGCCGCCATTTCACCCATAAAATTTTAGTTCACTTGGTGTAATTCAAGATTATTTTCTTTAAATCAACACTGCACTGCGCTATATATTATCAATATGTAAAATATATTTCAAAATGACCAATAATTTGACTGGAAGCACAGTAAAAAAGCATTTATGTTGATGAGTCTCAAACAAGATGTTCCTTCCTCTGAACTGGTAAACAAACTGACGCCAAGCTTGGTGTGTTGAGTGGCTGTTTGACGTGCAAAAAACTAGTTTCCTGTACTTCAATTATGTTCAATAATTGTTAAAATGACTAAAAAATTTAATATAAAACTTTTAAAATTATTGAATAGTACAGTACAACCTTCTTGATATTTACTAAAATGGAAAGGAATTTAAGCCCTAAAACCGATTACTGCATTGGCGGACTAATACTACAGCTGGTGGGCAGTCAAATGTAGGCGAAAACATGTTGGGAAACATTCGTAAGGAATTCGTTAACCGAGGGTTTGCTTGTTAACCGAAGTGAAGAATCTTATGGAAGGTAATTCGTTAACCGAGGCGCTCGTTAACCGAGGGATCACTGTAATAAATACAAGCATATACAGCTAAACCCCGACTTATGACGGGGTTAGGGACCCAAATCGAGGTCGTAAGTCCGACATGGTCGTAAGTCCGACATAGACAAAAACAAAATCCCCCCCCAAAAAAAATTTTCCCAAAAATTAAAAAATTAAAAAAAAATAAAAAATAAAAAATCTACAATGAAATACAGTACAGTTGGGTCTCACATTACGCGGTTAATGTAACCCGGAGGGTACCGCGGAAAGTGAGGAACGCGTAAAGTGAACAACATAACATATGGGATTAATTGAAATGGAGTCCAGGCCGATCCCCAAACTCCACTTTTTGACGACACACAACTATGTTGTAGTAAAAATATTATCTTAACTTTATGATGGCATACACACACAATTAATAATTAAGAGAAATATCAATAATATTAGGTTTTTTAACACTTACATTAGTAGGAAAGATGGCTGGGCACACGGGGATGGGCGGTTGGTTCCGAGGCAGAGGGCAGATTATTGGCCCTCACCTGTATCACTTGTATCAATTGTATCACTATCCACCACAGAGGCTTGCAGGGCCTCTTTGTCAAACCCCCAAAAGTTCATATAAGTCCATATCCTCACTATAATTATCACTATCACTGACTTGGGCCGGCTGTAGTGGGTGGCGGGTGAAGAACTGGTAATGTTTTGATGACTGGGCGACCTTGTGCGCACCATTTTTGCGCCTCTTACACAACATGGCGGATGGCGGGAGGTTTGGATCCAAAAATGGCGCGGCTTGCCAGCCGCTCTCCGCGTAATGGGGTTCACGACCGCGGAATGTGAGCATGTTAGGTTCCGGCAGGGCACCGCGTTAACGGTGAACCGCGGAATGCGGGACCGCGTAATGTGAGGGTTGACTGTACACTAAACGTAATAAATAATGAGGAATGGATACAGTATGACTGAGCACTTACCTTAAATGTAGTCAGCTGAATGCACACAGGGCCCCCATAATTTTCTATTTACAGGATACATGGAGACTATATTAATTGGAAGAAGTAGAAGAGGATACAGGGCTGGGTGGGTCATCAATGTCGCTTTCTTCAGACAGGTTTATGTGCTGTGAAAACTTGCTGGTTGAAGGTATTGGTTCATCTTGAAGGAGTGAAGAGGCAGCACTGGTGGGGCATGAGGAGACAGCACTGGGGGACTTCTTGAAATAGATGTCCAATTAAGACTGCACA